TGCCCCGCACGCAGAGCGTGATTTTCGGTGCTGGTTGGGAAGGCGGGGCTGATGGCTCCTTCTGCCACGGGGCAGAACTTCTATTGCCTCTCGTGTTGTAGTTAAGTGTAGTTGCCTCTCTGCCATGCCATCGAGCTACCAAAAAGGACTGCAATTAACGGTGTATTTACACATACACTTAATGGATTGGACTCGACGATCTTAAAGGTCTTTTCCAATCTAGGCAATTATGTGGTGTATGCTCCATCATATAATATATACACAATAATATCTGGTATATACACCATAAAGTGTGTGTGTGTATATATATATATATATATCTATATATCTATCTGTATATCTAAACCTTTGGGGTTTCTTTTTCTTCTTGCCCCTGTCCTTGTAAGACTGTTTTTATATTTTTAAAAAAAAATGAACCTTTTAATCTAAATTTACTGTTTAAAATTAGTTCTTAACAAAAACTTGCAAAAGGAGTCATGCCGCTTAATTGGTTTCTGAGTCCAGAATGATAACCTGAAAAATTAAATGTACACCATATATAGAAATTGGCATGTTAGAAAAGCTCCATATGCTGCTAAACTGCTGAGAATAATAGAAGTCTGAGTGGCAAACTGGTTAAGATTAAAAATGCACACATAGAACATCACTGATGCTTTTAATTTTGAATGGGGGTGAACTGTATATAAGCAAAATAGTTGTGAAGTAATCAGTTTAAAATGGCAAAAGAGAAAATGAACTAATTCTATCTAAAGTCTAAAGAGGGATGGAGGGCTGCAGTGGATTAAAAAACAAAACAAAACCTGTGCAATTACTTTATACAGGTGGTACCAGGAGAGACTGCACTGGCATTTTATAAAGCAAAAAATCCTACTGACAAACCAGTAATTGGAATCTCTACCTACAATGTGATACCCTTTGAAGCAGGACAGTATTTCAATAAAATACAAGTAAGTGTGAACAAAGCAAAGATTATAATGTTTTCCTTTACATGAATGAGAATTGTTATCCATAAATTAACTTTTTCTCATTTTAATCCTGGATACCATTTTTTGTCTGCCTACATTTTATGAAAATATCTTGATTTTTTTCAAATGATGTTGCATCAGTTCATTCATACTCTTACTGCCTTGAGAACAAGCTGCGGTAAATGTCCAATTAGAGTGGCTCCCAAATACATGATGTTTAGTACCACTGACTCTGAGGGCAGGTGGAAATGATGTGAGCTAGCCTGGCCAATTTGCATGTTTGGGCATTTCATTAAAAGCCAGGTTTATTTCCTGTAAGGCAAGAGGAACAGAATTGCTGTCGTGTTGTTCATATGGTTTATCTCTCTCAGGATTTTAGGGATGTACAGGGAACAAGAGTTGATTTTAAAAGATGAAGCGTTTCCTCATGTTGCCAGGGAGAAAGTTTACCACAGCTATTAATGTCTAATTGATTTTTTTAACTCTTCCATACAGTGTTTTTGTTTTGAAGAACAGCGGCTAAATCCTCAAGAGGAAGTGGACATGCCTGTCTTTTTCTACATTGATCCAGAATTTGTAGAGGACCCTAAAATGGCTAAAGTTGATTTGATCACCCTCTCTTACACCTTTTTTGAAGCAAAGGAAGGACAGAAGTTACCACTTCCTGGGTATCAGTGATGGGCAGTCTCTACACCATTTGTCTTCTGCTACCTGACTACCAGTTTTGAAACCATTTTTCAACGGAGGGAGAAACTGTGCAATATGAAATTATATTATTAAACCACCATGGGTAGATGGTGCTGTTATGAAAGGATGTATTTATATTTTTTTAATTAAAAAACCCCAAACTTACATAGTTGGAATATTTTTTCTTAGGGTTTGTATTTCTTCATTAGAGAATAGAAGGGAACACACTGTTGGGGAAGAGAGGGTTTTCTCATGTCATCTTTTTCCATGATGATACATGTTATCTGGATACTGTGAGGCAAATTTTTAAACCCAAGTGTAAACACAGAGCTCTTCCTTTAAATACAGAGCAACAAATAAATCTATTAAGCCTCTAAATTTGCATTGTTGTCTCTGAAGAGTAACTTCCATGTAAGTTACTTTACAAAAAGGTAAAAACAGGTACTAAACAAAGTTAAACTGTAGTGCTGTGTAACCTTCCTGTGGCACAGGAGGGTATGATGATTCAAAAGATGATGCACCCTCTTGAATTATTACTGAATCAGTAGTTCATTTGGTAAGAGCAGACTGCTCTAAAACTGTTATGATCTGAATGAGGAACAGTGATTTAAATGTAAGCATGTCAAATCCGTGGTATGGTTTCCATTTAGAAATACCATCTTCCAATTTCAGTGTTGCGTTCATTTAAAATATCTGTATTGCTAATGGCTGCTCTTTCACGCTGCAGAGGGCTGGACGCTGGGCACCTCCACACACAGACACGCTCGGCTTTTATATGAAATGCTTTGAAGGGAAAGGCAGTACATAAACAACTGCCCTAAATTGCAGGCTAAGTTAATAGCATAGGAGTCTGCTCAGCAACCAGAAACCTCATTCTGAGGTTAGGTCCAACAAAGCCTGCCCAGCACCGTGGCGGTTGTTCAGAGGTACTCCTAGGTACTCTGTTTACCACCGGAACATGTAGCCCTGTATTTATGTAACTTTCCATCATTATCTGTGGGGCAGGGATAATAACGCTTCATCATAGCTTTGCAAATGAGAAGTGAGCTGCAGAGCAAGTTTTAAGTGACCTAATCATTTTCAGACAGGAATTGATCTCAGCCCAGTATCTCACCTGCTAGACCAGTTCTTTCTACCCCTTTCACCACATGAGATCTAACAAAGTAAGACTAATGTGGTTTATTTGAGCTCTAAAAAAAAGTAATGGGTATATCATGAATAACTTCCAGTTACTTTAGTCTCAATTATGTTTGCATACAATAATTCTAAAAGTGCTTTTTTGAAAATAAATGGATGCTACCTTTAAAATGCATTATTGTACCAATTACACGTGGTGTTCAGATAGATTCTGGATGACATCTCAGGTCTTCACTGTGTATTTATTAAAATTTTAAAACTTTTCATTCTTTGATCTCTCTTTTTATCCATGTGGAGCCCACACCAGTGACACAGATCTGTATGAAGATAGCAGCAAGCTTTATATATGGTTTCAGAAAAAAAACCAAAAAAAACCCCAAACAAAAAACCATGACAAGTCTTTGAATTCAGGCTAGGGAAAAAAAAAATAGTTCTTACCTGTCTTTTGTTTAGTCCATTGACTTTTTGAAAGTTGAACTGATCATGACAGTTCTCAACACACTGATTTATTCTGGCCCTGTGCTTCAGAAGAAAAAGAATATCCCCCTGGCAAATGCCAGTTTCATAAACCTGGGTTTTCCTTTGAGTTTGAAAGCCCAAGTTTGCACAGATACTGAGCATGCTCCAACTATAAAACAAGCTCTCTCACCTCAGTAATTAGCCAGTTCCCTTCAGAGCTTTCATCTATCTGTGACTGTTTCGCTTCTTTAAATACAGAGAAGTTCAGTTAGCAATCAGCCATTATGGATTAGCATATTGAAACAGCCTATTTTAATTTGTTACGCATCACTGTGCTAGGGTTTTAACAACACAACTAAGCTTTAGGGAAAAATCAATCCACCTCAAATCATATTTTCAGCAGTTTTCTCAGGCTGCTGTCCAGACCATTGCCCCTAAGACAAGAACAAAAATAATAATAATAAAAAAAAATAAAGCAGCTTACCTTTTCACCTCTACTTACAAACCCCCCCCAATCTTCAAGGCTGTCTTTTTGGTAGAAGTAAGGTGTTCTAATAGCTCTACAGCAAGCTGCAAAACTGCTAACTGTGCAATGAAACACTGTGGATTCACACTCAAATACTTCCACCACTGTCTGCATTTGGTATTTCTCAGAATACGCATGTCATCTGCTAAAAACTGAAGTGATGGGCATTAACTTCTCAGTCAGTGTTTGCTTTTATTTGGAACTTTATGCTACAAAAATTGCATAACAGACAGAGAACTTAAACAGTTAACATAATGAACATTTAAAATGCAGTATTTAACAAAAAAAATTAGCTTATCAGCTATGAACATGAACTAAGTTCTTAAATTTTATATCAATTATAAATTCAGAGAACTGTAATTGTTAAAGTGCACATTTTACATTCAGTATTAAAACAGATACGGCACTTTAATTGTTAAAAGATAAAACTGTTATTAACAGGGTGAAACAACTTGATTAAAATAAATGGATAACTACTGCTCATCTGCATTGTAGATGCTTAATTTTTCCTTCACCAGAACAGCAATCTCTGCAGGGCAGAAACACTGAAAGAAATCATTGATCCTCTTCCAATATTTACTGAGTAAATAAAAGCAACAACAACATAGGAACAAGCAGGGGTTTTTCTTTTCTCTTAATAATGGATGACAGCACCTCATGTCCCAGCTCAGGTTCTTAAGACAAAAATTCACTATATTGCAGGCTTTTAAGAAGAAAACAAAGTCTGTATTCACAATATGAACGTAGGAAAGTAACACTGCATGTCTTCAGACATCTATCAAGAGGCCCAATTTTAGACAAGTCCTACATATCAAAACCTCCTTATAAATTCATAGGGAGATCAACACAGACAGCAACGAGGCCAAAATAGAAATTAGATTCTGCAGTTTCTGAAACAACATTCTGGTTTGTTTGCAAGAGTACTTTTTGTTTACTTGTGTCAGGTATCAAGTGTTAACTTCATACATGGGTTAATTTGAAAATTATATTGTAAAGGCCCCCAAAATACTTTAAAAGTAATGATGCAAGCCACCTTGAAGAATAAACAGATAAACATTTAGGACAAATTATCAAGGTGTAGAGCCAAGTAACTCTCCAACTTCCACTCAGCTTAGTATTGCAATACTTATTGTTTGTTGTGTCAAAATACAAAACCTGTTCTGTTATTCAGTTGTATGTTACAGGAAGCACTGCACAGGACCCGTGTTCAGTAGAAGACTCCACCTTCAGCATTCTGTATTCTTTTTAACATCTGTCTTCAGCACATCATCAATTTCTTCATAAACAACGCTGAAAGAGGAACAGGATGACTCCTACATCACAGTTATTTCATTCTGACAAAATGCACCAATGAAGTCCTGCCCAAGTGTGAACTGCCAAGAGTTTATAGCGTTTCCCTAACGAAGTAGCATCAGTTGCAAGATGCCCAGGTTTCCATGGAAACACAGAGCTGATCCTGTGGTGCATCTGTGATTATACATTTAATGAGACACCTCTGGAGACTGTCACTTTTGATGGAGTAAGTTTGGGAACAGGACTGCAAAACACAAATGGCCAGCATACCACATGGCATGCGATTTCTGTGCTAGTTTTAAAAAAAAAGGAAAAAAAGGAAAAAGATGAAAACAACATAAAGCTTTGTTGATATTTTTCTACCTCAGAATTGGATGGTTCCTTGGAAATAGGTTTTGTATAGATAGCTCAGATTTTTTGCAATTTACTGGTAGAAAAGAGAGTTCTGCCATCTGTTTAGTTTCATATTACTTTTCTGTCTGACTGTTTGGCCTTCTGGAGAGTCCCAGCATCCGTTCCCTCTTGTAGCTTATCTTTAAATTGAGGATTTTCTTGATATGCAGTAGAACAACATTCTTAAAAATCACGACTGCTGTGAGCAGAAATTACTTTGGTTACTTTGCTGCAGAACTACCTGTAGTGTCAATCAGCTTTTTAGTCATCTTTTCGTATCGCTGAACAGGAATTTAGTAGATTGTTTTTGACAGCATTACTCCACCATTTTTACAGATGCCATTCAATGAACACACTAGAGGAGTTTATTCATTAACTGGTTATGTCAGAAATATTGGAAGAAAATTTAAAAAATGCAGCCACTCATTTACATTAGCAATCCAGTTAGTCAGCTAACACAGTCTAAATAGTGTGGCCTGCTTTCTCACTCAGAAAAAGCCACCTCAGAAGCCTGCTTGCCTTTGGCACCAAGAAAACTGTACATTACCTATTTTAAAAGTTACTTACTCAGTGGGAGCCAAGGGATCAAATTCCATTATCGCATAGTAATGAGGTGACTGTGACTTGTTCTTTGATGCACCTGAAGAATAAAGACAGGCAGATAAATCCAGATTGAAATGTAATTGAAAAACATGCTTACTACATGCTACCTTGTTGTACGTTCCTGAAAGTAGATTATCTCCCACATATCTAGTTGCTTTAAATGCTAAAATGGACAGACATGTCTAGGAGAAGCCATGAGCAGTATGAGATTTTGTCAATGTTTGTTGCTGCTCCTAGTCTTTTACAGCCATTGTGTAAAGCCCTTAAATTCTAACAACAAAAAAATACACCTCCATTAAAGTTAGGTTGTTTACAGAGTATTTATTACCTGCTGGTGACAGTCCATTTAATGATGTAGTATGTCCAGTCTGCAGATTTACTGGATTCAAAGGCACTGGGCTTAAAATAGTTGCCAACTAAGGAAAATGAGCAAAATAGCACATAAACAGATTGTTCTATGAGAACTGGTTTGACTTAATTTACCTAACTGCTGAATTATCTTTAGACTCTCAGACTATAGCAGGTAAATTCCAAGGTCAACAGTTATCAATCTAATTAATCTCCATTCTCCAAACAAAATTCAGAACATCTTTTAGTGTTATCTATAGCACATTTGTATAATTGACTGCTGTGTCATTTGTTACACTACACAGACTTGGAGACCGCAGTACTCACAATACAGATATCTGCTTTTACTTGTGTTTTAAATAGGGAATATGCATGTGTGTTCAGGGGCTGCTTCTCATCTTTCTATTTCATACTGCATACCACAGAACAGCATTCAAATTCAAAATACTACCACAAAGCCCCTTCGTATCCTTTGTGTTCCTTCTGACATGGGTGTTTTGACTGCAGCATATGTCCTACAGTGTATCGATTTTCAAGTGTCTGGGGTTTTTTTGGGGCGGGTTGGTTGTTGTGGTTTTTTTTGTTGCTGTTTTTTTGGGTGGGGAGGTGTGGGTAGGTGGTGGGTTTTGAATCTTATTTGAGATAGGAAATACACCAGAGTAACATAATCACAGCAGGAGGAGATTATAGAATCATAGAACAGTTTGGGTTGGAAGGGACCTTAAAGCTCATCCAGTTCCAACCCCCCTGCCATCAGCAGGGACACCTTCCACT